AAAACTTTTAGGCCTTAGGCGGATGCTTTCAACATTTTGTTTGCCAGACAATACGAGAGTAAACCAGGCCGAGGTCCGTTACCCAGGTGGTTGACTAACGCAAAGCCCACTGGCTGATTGCCTAACTGGGTGGTGTGGCTTGGTGTGGTGCTGCTGCTGTAAGTTGTGGCGAATTGTTGTCAAAACTTTTCTGAAACGTTATTGTTGCAGCTCGAGAAACTTTTGTCGTCACAACTTTGCCACTGCAGTAAACGGTAAAAGAAGATACACACACATACACACACACCACGAAACTTTGTGTGGCGTATGGAAACTCGTTGGGGTAGCTTAAAGTGCTTTAAGTTCTTTGGTAAATGTCAGAGATTGCGCATACGCAGCGTTGCCCTTGTCAAAAGTCAAAGTCGCTGCATTTGTCAGGTCAACGGAGCAGACCGTGTTGGCAACAACAGCAGAATGTGCTGCGTGCTGCCACGCCATGCTGGCCACAAGGTCAAGGTGTAGGTCGAGATGCTGTACACATGTCTTATCTAGTTTGGCCATGTATGCAAAATTCTTGACATCCATCAAACGGTTTTGGTCGCAAATCCAAGCGTATATGTAAAAATTGTGATTAAAAGTGTGTTTTTATTAACCATTGAGTCGTGACCCCGAGGCATTAAGCGAGAGCCCCGAGGCAACGTATAAATTAGCACACGTCTGCTAAGCGCCCCATCCGCCCCAAAATGATGGTAATAAAACGTTTTGAGCTACGTATACGTAATGTATATTTCAGCTGAATGTAGGCAAGCAAATGACACGCGCCAAGCGAATTTGTAGAAAGCCGTAAACCGAAATAAACACTTTAAGGCGCAAAGTCATAAAACTCCGAAATAAATTCAACGCCCAAAGGTTGGTGAAGTAGCAGTGTGGGGGAGGGGGGTGGGGGGGTTGTGTATTATGAATAGAGTACTTCTTACGCGTAGGTCTGCGTGCCACTAAAGTTTCACTAGAAACAAACTAGAGCTCAGCGCGACATTTTCTGTGAATTATTGGCCATTGCTGACAACTGTTGCGCCTTCGGAAGTGGGAGCGAGATAGAAATAGAGAGAGGGGTTTGTTTGGTGGCAGTGGATTGGGTATTGGTTTTAGCTGGTTCATATACACGCTTCACTTTGCAAATGAAATGTCAATCTGTGCCTGCGGGGCAAAAACTTAAAAACTCACAAAAAAAAAATGTTGACTCGTTTCAAAATGACAAACTGACAGTCAGCTCGTCAACGCGGCAGCCGTTCATTCATCCATCAATCAATCAATCGCTTTGCGCTTTACGCCTCTAAGCCTAAGCTTGATGGCCAAGTCCGTTGGCGTTGTTGGCAATCGACATGCAATTTATGCAAAACGTTGACACTTATCGCCTGACACTTTGAACTCTTTGCACTTGTATTATTTGCTTTTTAGTTTTGCCCCAAATGAGACGGGGAGCGTCATCAAGTTGAAATATAAATAAATTGAATGCAAACATTTCAAGAAGCTGATAACATTTGTATACACACACAGACAAAAATATACAAAGATGTGTTTAAGGCATACATATGCACAGACTTATTTTGAAAGGATTTGCCAAAGGGCTGTTGACTTGTTGGCTTTTCGGATTATGAGGGCGTTCTTTTGAATTGAATTGAATTGAATTGAATTTAAATTGCTTTAATTCCTATTGTACAGCTTCAAATATACCACATGGAATAAGTTTCGCATTGATAACAAACCCGATTATCTAAACTTTTATCTACCTTATTGCGTTTTGGTCTGCTGTCAATCTAGCAATTATTAAAGACTCAAATGTCTTTAAAGGTGTGTTTTCAATTCAAACTATTAACAGGTCCTTGTTTATGATGGCTGTAATTTCAGGCAAATGTTGGTTTATCAATCGTTTGTGTTGTTTTTGTATTTTATTTTATATTTTTAAATCGAACACTCGCTGAAACAGAATTGTGTTTGTGTATTTGCATTTGCTTTTTTTATTGACATTGAAATTTTAATTGTTTGCTTTGGCTGTTGACATTGATGGTTGTACATGTTTTTCTTTCGTTCCATTTTTTTTTTTATATGTTTTTCTTTGAGTTTTTGTGGCAAATAATTGAATTGCGAAAGCAATTACAAGAAATCTGTTTGCTTAAGCAGAGCGTGCAATGGTGCGTATGAGTAATGCAGTAAGTTCTTGTTTATCGGCAGCTTCCGCCGTCCGACTCTTAATGCACGACCTAGTCTTTGTTCACCGATTATGCTAATGAGAGGGCATCTTTGGTTTGTTTTACGCAACGCTGCGTTGATTCAGGTTTTTGTGAATCTGCCCAGCCAGGCAGGCGTTTGTTATCATTCATAGCACGTAGCCATGGCAAATATATAGCAAGGAACTGGCGAATATAATTAGAGAGTACACAGACAAAAATGAACCGATTTCCTGGAACAAAACAAAAGGAATCAAAACGACAAATGATTCAATTAAAAATCACAGAAAGCCAAAAATTCGCGAGCCAAAATTTAGAACGAAATGCAACGCAATCAACAAAAGGATTCAGGAGTTGCAGGAAAGGCGACAAAGATAACGCTGCGAACAAATTGGTGGGATTGGAATTGGCGCAGCAAAGAGTGGGGAAAAAAAGCGATTCACAAAGACAAATACCTTAAAGGTGTTTGGAGCACGGCCTCGCTCCCCCTGTATATGTCAAATACATAAATAAAGGGTTGGCAAAGTCAAAGGTTGAGCGCAGGCCAAAATCAGCCAGATTCGTGCCATTTATGCCCCATGGGTGCACGAGGAGCATTGCATCGCAACCCTGTCGCCAATTGTGTAACCAGACATGAGCACAGCAATTCGGCACCTAAATATAACCACATATTATCGACGCGTGGCATTCGCTCCGAATATTTATCATGCCATTTGCGGTGTGCCATTTGGGAGGGCTCCAAATACCGAAGTCAATGACAGTGGTATCGAAATCGAATACAACTTGCTGCCTCCGTGCCGTATGCGTGCCGAGCACAGTCGTCTCTCACCGCAATTCAAGCCTTTCGATGACTTACAGTCAGAACCCTCGATTTCCACATCGACCCCCAATTCCGACTCCAATTCCGTTGGCACGTGCGATCTACATGAGCTGGCTAAACAAAAGGGGAATTGATTGCGTGCCAGATGCTAGGAGGAAATGAGGCGAAAAGCTTTGCCAAACCTTTGGGATACGCACAGTGGGCGGTGGGCGTGGCTAAATGTTGAATTCCTTTGCAACGGCAAACAGTATAAATAAGTATATTGTAATTAAAATGACGACAGCAGCTGCTTTTTAATAAACAGCCAAAATAAATACAAAACAAAAATAAAGAGAAATGAAATAATGTTTTTCTTGAAATTCGACTTACAAATACCCTAGTGAATTTCATTCTGCCAAAAAGAAAAAGAAAGAGAAATAAGCAAGTGCAGTGACTATTTAAAAAACTATATCCGTAACGTTTCAACTTCAATAAATGAAAAAGATTGAGGCAGCTATATCTATGAGGTTTGCATAACCAATAAACTTTTCTATCTACATCAGGATTGCGCATGAAAACCGCTTGAGCCCACTCTAATTGGTATGAACAGAAGACGCAAGCTTGATTGCGAATATTTTTGGGCGGATTGTCGGGACCACACACAAAATTAACAGCGCAACGAGTTGAGTTGAGTTGAGTTGAATTGGGGCAGTTGACGGGTGCCGCAAGGGATTTCAGCATACACAAATACTTAAGTGAAAATGTATCTGAAGCCTTAACCGAAAGCAAAACAAAAGCGAAATGTCGAGCTCAAGCAGCGTAATTTTTCATGATACGAGTTGGCGCAGTCTGAGTTGTTTGGCATGAAAAGCAAACTGTTTACATTTGTTTCACTTCAGCTCGGCAAGCATCCAAAGAGGTGTTGGGTCCTTGGTGGGTGGTGGAGACATATTCATTATCTTCTGCCTGACAGTCAGACAGAGATGGTGTCTGAAAGGGAGGGGGAACGGGCAGACGCTAAAGTGCTATCGCCGTCAACAGAGCGAGTCCGCTTTGGGGCGCTTCAGGTGCGGCTCATTAAATCACTCGGTAATCAGAGCCCAATGTGTTAGTTAACCTTTCCAGCAGCTTGGCTTGGAATTTTGCGCCCGAATTTCGCATCCGTCAATCACAGTTGGAGTTATTAATTAAAATTGTGAAATAAGAACAAAATGGCGTTGATTTCCTATTCTTTAAAATATTCTATTAAATTTATACCATTTTTTCTGCCGTTTTTCATTATTAAACTGTCGACACCATCGACTCTGCAGCCAATTATCACGAATCTATGCTATTTAGTTGGCAATTAAAAATTATAATGCAGCGAAAATCACATCTGTTTAAATATTAATAATTGCATAGATACAATTTGGATTGAAAAGTCGGACACAGACATGAGCTGAATAGTCAATGCACTGGGTGTATTGGATTTAAACCAATTATTTAATGCTCGTAAATCGTCATAATTTTTGAATGATTTATGAACGCAGCTGACAGTTTTGTGCCACGTCCGTGTCGCATGTTCGCCTGCTTCGCTTTGTGTCACATAAATTTCCATCAATAATTCAAATCTACGGCTTTGTTTGCCACTCAATGCGAGCAAGCGCCGGGTTGTATGCTACGTTTTGTGCCACTATTGAATGGAACTGTGTCAGTCCGTCTTTTTGTGTCCAATTGAGAAATTTTATATATTTTTATGTATATGCATATGTGGTGAGTGTGGCATTATTTGGTTCGGCAATAATAATCATAACTTTAGATCCTTGTCAAGGGTTCAAAGAAACACGTAATCTGTTCGAACTTTGTCCAAATGCAAATGGTTTTGTATTTTGCTGTGTGTTGTTGTGTGTTGTTGTGTGTTGTTATGTGTTGTTAACGGTAATTGATAGCTGCCATAACATTTTGGCTATATTGTAAGAAAAACTTAACAGTTAAACTATTTAGAAGCTCTTTAGTGAGGGGATCTTAGACCTAATCACGATTTGTTTTTTTTTTCAGTTAGTTAGTTGTAGTTGTTTCATACACACATATTAAACATTATAAAGTTGACTTATGACTACGATTAAGTATAAACACTCTTCACAAACTCCAGTTAGATAGTTGATTGCTTAGGACACTAGGATGCGCTGATAATACTTACAGGTTTCTTGTCATTTGCTTCTTTTGGGGGATTAGTTAATTGTGCCTGGTTTGGGATTGCTACGCTTTGATTGTTGCGTTTAGGAACCCAAAATTTCTGACCCAAACTTAGACCAGTTCCGTTTCCATTTGGGCGGCCTCCATTGTCTCCACGATTGTTGTTGTTGGGGCCGCCGTGACCGAATCTCATGGAACGTATCTTGTGGTCAGTGCGCCATCGTCGCCATCATCATCGACATTCAGGCCGCTGCCGGGGCAACAGCAGCTGCACAGGAGCCAACTGCTGGGTTTGCAACAACGTTTTGGTCAAATTGCGGAGACCTGCTCCAGCTCGGCGCTGGAGCGACCCGAGTTCATCACCACCACATTCTTGGCGGCATAGTCCGTGATGAAACGATCGCTGTTGCGCGGATGAATATTGCCCACATCCTGTGCACAGCACCACGGATTGCGCATTGTCAGTATACGCTTGAAGGCGTCCCGGAACTCCTTGTTGAATATGGAGTAGATAATCGGATTGAAAGCGGAATTCGAGTAGCCCAACCAGGTGAGTATCTTGAAAGTCTGGCCGCCAATGCACGTCTTACAGAAGGCAGCCATGATGTTCACACAGAAGAATGGCACCCAGCATATGAGGAACACACCCATTATGACGCCAACTGTGACTGCAGCCTTGTGGTCGGATACGTGATACGGGGAACTGTGATGCAGATTGCGCACCTTGAACTTCTTTGGCTGGTTCTTGGGACGACGTATGCTCTTATACCGTTGCTTTTCGGCCACTTCACCGGGTCTTGTTACCGCCTTGATGGACTTCACGTGCTTCTGGGCATAGCAGTAAAGCCTGTGTTGTCGAGAATGTGGAAGAAAGTTGGGGTCAATAAGTCAGTAATTGAAGTGCACTTTCAAAAATATATATTTAAATAATTTTATTGACTTAATCACTTATTTTAATTATACAGAACTATATTGCACTATGATTGTATAATTTATTTAGTTGTAAACTCAGAAATCCACAATTTATTGATTTGGTTTGACAATAAATCAGGACGAAGATAAACGTTAATCGGGCTATAATCTGTTAATTCTGCAACTGAATAAAACATTTGTATCTTATGTCATTTGAATGTTCACGACATCAATGAAATTGTGTTTTAATATATTTGAAATACCTGAACAGAAAATATAATTTGTAATTGCGAATTCAAAATGACTCGGTGCAAATCGGTTAAGGCCATTCATTTTACCTAATCAATGAAATAGTCATTTGTGACATGGGTTTGTTTCACTAACAGAGCCCTCAGGCTGCCCTTTGTCCAACGAACCTAATATTAATTAAATTTGCTCTGCTTTGAGTGAGTGCAGTTTGTGTGTGTGTGTGTGGGGAATTCCATTTCTAGCCACCTAATTGTGGGGTCTACGGAATGTTTTCGTCTAGCTGCTCTTGATGTAACTGATATGATAATTATTTACTTTTCCTGACATGCCAATTAAACAGACTGCCCCCCGGGGATGAGCTTCCAATAAAGCGTATACTTGATATTGAATGTGGCTGTTTTGGGGCACGTTTGCAGACGCTTATTCACTGACTAGACGCAGTAGCAGCAGCAGCAGCAGCAGTAGCAAGGAATCATATGCTTATGCGTTTTCTTAGATGCCACACGAAAAGGATAACAAGGCTGTGCACAAATTATGGCGATAAATGTCTATTTATTCTGCAATTTAACCGAAATTTGATAGAACATGCCAATGACAGCAACCAGACACTCGTGTGGATGCCCCAAGCCATAGGCTCAGGCTGCGATGAGGTATAGACGGCGAAGTGAGTGGGTGGGCTGTCAGTCGAGTTGGTCGGTCTGTCGATGGGCGTGTGCTTGCGTCCATTTGTTGCGTGCGCCCATTGGCCGCAAATCTCGTTAAGCTAAAATGGCAACGTGCCACTCGGCTGCCGGCTATAATGCTGATGAGCGGCCATATCGCTGTCCTGTTGATATTGCTCGTCTTGCTGTTGTTGTCGTTGTTGTTGGGTTGATGATGTTGGCATCCTGTTGCCGTCCTTGGGCACATTGTCTAGCAGCCCTTTTCGCACACACCCCAGTCTTTGACCGCCTGTCCGCCTGTCCGTCTTTGGCTTTGCTCAGGGATTACTTAGCCGACCACTAATGCGTGCGCTTATTTGTTTGCCGTCTTATTTGAAAGCAACGAGTTCTCAGCTGCCAACACCCAACCCCCAGCTCTCAGCTATCCCATTGCTGCTGCTTCGTGCCTCGGTGCCATCAGCGGCAAGGTCCTTGCGGTCTTTCAACATTGCGACTGAAACTTCGAAAGTGTTTACTACATTTTGTTATGTACGTTTTACTACCTTCAAATTCTGAATTTTTTTTTTGTTTCTTTTGTTTATCCATGTCTGGCAGCAGCAACATTTAGCTAGTTGCGGGTGACCTTAATATATTTATGTTTGTGTAAGAATACCAAATAAGCTTAATGTTCTGTATTTAGACTGTATCGATAAGTTCAAGCAATTAGCTTGTAGTCTCAGGCTCGTTTTGTTTTCGCTAATGACCAATGAGCATGTCAGCATGCATAACACGATCGATCACGACTAGCCCGATAACATTCAAAATATAAATAATAAAAACCATAAAAATATATGTGTATTCAAAAGAGGTGAGTCGCAGTTATTTTATTATTATGATTTTATACTTTTTAAATTAATTTGATTTATATATTTTCCATTTCAGAAAGGGTATCTCTATGACTATCTCGAGTCCACAACTTATAACTCATATTATGACCGGCTGTTCCTATGACAGCTATATAATATAAGGCGTTTCGGACGACATTAGTGACAGGAGCTAAAAGACGAAAATATATCAAGTTTCAACAGGAAGGTTTTAAAAATGAACGAGTTCTGACGGCCATACGGACTTGGCCTTATCGACTCGTCTTTCTATCAAAAATTGAAGACTGAGCAACTTTGTAAATGTAAGCTTCAAAAGTTGAAGCATTCCATAAGTTGCAAGCAGTTGTAGATTGTTTTGGACTTTTCTTTTCTTTTTATCTGTGCACCTTTTCAGCATTCGACGCTGCACATTTTTGTAAAATTCCATTTTTTCGCATTGTATGTGTTGAATATTTGTTTGTCAATTGCATTTGCTTATACTCACCGACAGTAGATGCCAATCATGACCACGCAGGGAAAGTAGAAACTGATACAGCTGGAGACGACGGCATATGTGGGTGTCAAATCCAGTGCGCATGTTGGGTACTTCTTACCGTTATCCTCGAAAATCAGCGGCTGGTCGGGTCGATGGATGCCCAGCGAAATAGGCACAAACGAAACAAATGCGGCCAGCAGCCAAATGGCTGCAATCGTAATAACAGCCACCCGTCGTGTTACCCAGCGCCCGTATCTGCATGAGAGAGACAGAGACAGAGACAGAAACAGAGAGAGAGAGAGAAAGAGGGAGAGAAAAAGAGCACATTAATTTGGAGTGAAGGATGTGGGCTTGTGTTTTGTCCCCTGTGGTTGCCAGCCAGCAAAAGGATTAACAACAAACAGCAACAGCAAATGCGACAAGAAAATGGGACATGTTGTGATTGCGGCTTTGCATGTTGCTGGCAGGCAATACGTGTGGCTGGGTGGGGTTGGTGCGACAAGTGTTGGAATACGACACAGTTGGTCAAAGGTGTGCAACCGTGCAATACGCACTATGCTCCAGTGCCACAGTGCCGCAGTGTCTGTCTGCATGTCGTTAATTACCCCAACAGAACCGAACACGGACAGGCTGCGGTAAAACCGACCTAAAACCGTAAATCCCAACCGCAACGCAAACCATTGGTCATTACGCAATGTGGTGCGCTGTGGTGCTCTGTGGTGCTGCTGTTGACGCATGCAAATCATACTCGTGTGGCACTTCGATTTTGAAGGCAGACGCACAATTTGATTTCACAGCAAACGGAAATGAGCAGGCCGAATCCTAAGGCTGTTGGCATGTAAAGAGCCTATATATTTATGAATGTGTGTGTGTGTGTGCGTGTGTATGCGTGTGTGTGTGTGTTTGGTTGTATATGTTGCCATATGCCGCAGCAACATTTTGGCTTGTGCAAATGTAACCGCTGACTGTGCTGTGGCAGACATGGGGCAGGAAATCAAACAGAATAATTCAATTTCAATACAAAGACGCACTCAATGCGCCAACCGAAAATTCTACAGATGACACAAAAGCGACAACAACAAAACGGTAAAAAGGAAGTTTAGGTAATTGTATTCAGAAACAAATTCAATTTCATGTGCAAACCCAAAATTGATTTCCAATCGAGCAGCAGCAGCGCACAGTAGTCGCCACCTATCCAAAACTCTTGACGCAACGGCTTGTAAGCACCTATAGCACCTATATATGTATACATATATATAGTGGATACCCAACTCTCTTCACAGAATGGAATGTTGTAGTGCCAAGTGGCGCCACACGCATCCAAAGCGAGCAACCCAAAGCTAATTGAAATCGTGTGGGTGTGTGTGTGCGTGTTAGTTGCCCCAACCACAGAGCAAAGCCAACCAGCATTGGCATTGCCCATTTGCATTTAATGTTTGAGTTGTGCGTGTGCCCGAGAAATGACAGGCGAGCACGCACAATGCCAGGATTCATCCGACTAGTTCGTTTAAGTGTGGTGTTTATTTTGTTTGCCTGTTGTCATCTCAGATGTTTTATGAGTTTTTATGTGCGTAGATGTTGCAAGCACATGCTGCTGCGGCTGCTGCGGCTGCTGCTGTTGTTTCTCAACTGTTTGCAGGCATAATCCAAAAGCCCAAAAACACGAACCCAAACGAACACAATTACAAACATGCCCTAAAGCGCCATTCTTGTTGACTTTTGTTGCTTAAGCGTCTTACGCCAGCTTCCTCTAACTGCCCTCCCCCGCCCTGCTTGCCGCAAAAGTTTGCAACACTTTTTATTGCAGTTTAAAGTGTATTTTATGCCCGATACGAGCCTGCACTCATATGCTTGCTGGGGTCGTGACTGTTACGATGATGACAGCCTGCCAGGCTGCCAAGCTGCCAGTTTCAGCCTTATCGCATAAAACAAAATTTTTATTTTGTATCCTGCTTAATTTCACCATAATTTTAACTTTGTCAGCGCCTGTTTCTAATTAGATTTGAGCGCGCTTTTCATTCAAATTGTGTTTCTGTCTCATTTTCTTTTTCTTTTTTCGTTATCGCCTTTCTTTTACCAATTTTAGCTGTCAGCGCTCAAATCTTGGCAGGCGCAATTAAATTAAACGCTTGCAATTATTTCAAGGCGCTAAGAAAATACAACGCATCTCTCTCACCGTCCGAGGTGGCCAACCTAATGAGACGCCGCAACGGCTCTGGTTCGCATTTCGCGAACTTTGACACGTCGGGCGGCATCAGCATCAGTAGCAGCAGCAGCAGCAGCAAGAAAAACTAAGGCGCTCAACTTCTGTGTCCCCACTTTGACATGCAAATAAATCAGATTTGCATAAAGAGCAGCGCCAACGACGCCTACTGCCATCAGTCTCTTTGGGGGCCAGCACTAATAACGCCAGACACGCAACAGCCAAGCACAGACAGCACCAAAAGAAAATATTTTTAAAAAAAACTTTGCTGAGCCGAAGATTAAATACCTTATCGATGTCGATCATATTTTTGAAGTGAGCTTTAAAACTGATTCGTGGAAATTTGAAAACTTAGACTTGAAAACACTAGCCAAGCTATTTTTCATAGCATCGATGCAAAACATTATTGACACTCTTTCTTTTTAAGAGTCGAAAGTTGAGATTGATATGCATCTGTGTAGCAATCATGCATATAGTATGTAAGTAGCTTAACGCGTTTACACTTAATGCGACAAAGTTATGACACTTCATGAAGTGTATAAAAATAAGCATAGAATATATTGCGTTGCGTGGTATTTTCGCTGGCAGTGAATCACCCGGAGGGAGTGCTAGGCGACTGCTTGAGGCTTTAAGTGCAGGCCGCAGACACATTCAGGACTTGGCATAATGGAACTGGGCACAGAGGATAAGGCTAGAGTCTACTGTGGCCAAATTCAATTTAAATGTGTATTAAAATTGACCCACAGGTTACGGGCAAATTTTGCCATAAAAAGTAGGCAAGGCAAATTTCGTTTGTTCTCCTAGCTTTCTTCGTTAAGCTAAACAAATTGGTTTTGGCTTCAGATAATTTCAAAGCTTAGAGTCCATGAAAATGGTTCATAGAATTTTTCAACACATTCCTTAAAGAGAGGCAATATAGAATGAAAAATTATCATTTTCCCAGCCACTATGATGACAATTTACAAAGTCTTATGGTATTTTTAAAGCTAACTCGTCCATATTCTTCTTTTTTATTTAGTCTTTTTTTCCACAGCTAATGGTTTTATTAAATTTTCTATATAAATAACTTTTCATGAGTTCATTAAAAGCAGCCACTGTGGCAGCTACGAATCACTGCAAATTAACAAACCGTTGCAAACTTTTCGCATTCAAATGGTTGGCTAGCAGAATATAAAAAGTGCCACCAGAATTCACACTTTATGGCCAAGTCAACTTTAGCAAGTCGATGAAGTGTGCCATTGCGCCAACTCGTTACGGTCCGGAAAAAATCCGATTTAATTCAGAAAATACACACAGACGCAGTGAATGGGACTTCAATACAAATGTCGTGTAACGTTTTTCATAAACGAATAAGCTTCAACTGTTGCCCAACAGATGTGGCAGGTGCAAGTGGATCAACAAATGCCCGAAAGCTAGAAATTGAGAGAGTGACACAGAAAAACAGTAAGTGAGGGAGAGAGATAGATGTCGGACAACGCGGTCGGTCGGTGGGGGTGGTGAGGAGAAAAAATGTATCTACTTTTGGCTTGTGCTGAAAATAGCATCAAAGGATTTATTATGGCTCTTTGCAGCAGCAGCCAGGGGGGCAGCTTTGTCCAGAAGTGTCTCGTTGTCATATGTGGACAGAAGTCTTTTTTTTGTTTTTTGTCAAGCCCCACCAATACCGCATCCCTACCGCCTCCCCTTCCATCCAGCAGTAGTTATGCCCTTAACAGCCGTGGGGCCACATTAATTTCGTTTGTGTCGCTGCTGTGACTTTGTCTTTGGCTGTCAGCGACTTGGTCAGCTCCATTTTTAACAATATACACACACGCACACGTATCAGCAACTTTGGGTGTGTGTGTGTGTGTGTGTGAGTGTGGCGAGCAGCCATTTTGTGCCATCCTTTTTGGCCACTGTTTGCCACTGACATGTCACAAATTTTCGTTTGAGTCTGCCCCGAAAGAACATAATATTTGTGCTCTCCAAAATTGTTTGTTGTTTTCTTTTCTCGCGTTGCGGTTGCGGCACTGTTAAAAAATTTAATTAACCCACAATTGCTGTTGTCGCTGCTGCTGTTGCCACAGTGAGGCACAAACGAGAAACGCTAATAATGTTATATCCGCTTTCTGTGTGTGTGTGTCTTTGATTGTGATTGTGTTTGTGCTTGTGTTTGTCCTTGTCCATGTCAATTGCCACTACTTACCGGTATCACAGTGGGTTGTCTACCACAAAGCAAGCTAACATACAACTTGCATATTGCTTGCAGTTGGCCAACTGGCAAAATGCAATACAAACGACAGAAACAGAACAGGATATTGTGTCACACCCAGACATGAGAAATGGCCAAGGCAATTCCAACGGCCAGCTGAGCCGGTAGAATTCCATTGTGTTTGTCAAGCAAGCAAACACACCAACACACACACCCACACACGGACACGCACTTTAGAGTTTAAATTACTGGCAGCAGGTGAAATTCGTTCTTCCTTGAGATATAAACATAAATCGAGCAAAGATAATGGTTGGAACTGTTTATGGCTTATGCTAGCGACAGATATAAAAGTTGAGTGCAAAATAAATTAGTCTTACGAACATTTCAATCAAGTAATTGAACAAGCAATCTTTTTCTGTTTTTTTTTTTCCACACGAAATGTGTGTGTTAGAAAGTTTGACAAGCTATTGGGATAGTCGTTTGGCTATGGCAAATGACTTGCGGAACAATTTGACTAACTAAAGCCACAAATCAGACACTGGTGATGCAGCACAAGTGCCCAACAAACTTGAATGCAGAGCGCGTAACAGTGAAGATATAAGGGAGAAAAAAAGTCGTTAATGCCCAATAAATCTGTTACTAATGAAACAATTATGTGCTGCGATTAATGAGAGTCGACGCCATAAATAAGTCGAGTGCCTGTAGAGCGGCCACAAAGTGAACGACCAAAATGAGAACGAGCCACTGAGAAACGTGACGTGCATGTCAACGCGACGGATGAGTAATATGCATGAGAGGGAATGCCGTTCGAATTGAGGGACTGGAATGTGGCAGGTCTGTTTTTAATAAATCGATATTTAATCGGGCTTTCAGTGGAGCGTCAGTGTCACATCAATAATATTTTCCACTCACTTGATGACAGACAACAAATGAGAGCAGCTTTCTCGGCTCTAAATACGTATTCACTACTAAAATCAATAGGGGACAGACAGCCTGCTCCCACACAGCCTGTAGGACACTCTGCTGCTCGATGCACAATTATATTCGTTAGATTCATGTGAAGCACGCGATGACAGGCAGCTGTAGCTGAGGCTGTATCTATTGATAAATTGTATAATTCATGCATGTGACAGTGTCGGCGACGATGTCGTTGTCATCATCATGATTATTAGTTACTCTCGGCACTCACCTGAGCGGATCCTTGATGTGTATGTAGCGGTCCATGGATATGGCACACAGATTCAGAATAGATGCCGTCGAGCACATGACATCAAAGGCCACCCATGTATCACAAAACTCTGCACCAAAGATCCAATAGCCTGCAATAAATATAAATATAGAATAATAGTTGAGTTATTTATTGATTAATTGCTCAAATAACCAACTGCTTGACTGATTGCATGTCCGAGATACTTAATAACATCTCCCACACAATGCATGTAGTAAATGGTTATGTAAAAGCGGAAATTGCCATATTGCCGCCAACGGAGACCAGAGGAAAACTCTTAAACAACAACTTAACAACAACAAGCAAAAAACTTTTCCAAAGCCATACGAAAATGCAATTCCTTATTTATCATGACATAAACGGGTTTATTTATATAATCCCGGGTGATTTCCATAAAAAAAAAACAGATTATAAATCTAATCTGACGCGCATTTGCCCATGTTCCTGACAATGTTTAACATACAATTTAATAAGCTGACCACAGAATTATATAATAATATGGTTGCAGCACGTTTAATGAGCAAGCGGGTCGTAATATTTTATATATTCTGTTACATTTTTAATGAGGACAAGCCTTAAAAAATCACAACAATTTTCTGAAAAGATAATATGGTGTTTGGCTGTCGATTCTTCTGTCGCTCATAAAGTAAATTGAGCGATTTCATGAAACAATTTCCTTTTCCTGTCCACTTCTGGCTGTGCATATGTGTGTGCCTCTTACGTTATTTACATTTGATTTGTGTTGACACAAAAAAAAAACAACGATTCAAGGTTGTGGCAATGCTACTAGTGCGATGCAATTACGGCAAAGAAGATTCGTCAACCAGCCAGCCGGACAAGCTCCTGTGCGTGTCCGAATTCAGCGGGCAAAGCGGATTTCCTGTGCTGTGTCCGGTTAAGCCCAAGTAGGAAATAACCAACACATGGATCACATACGTACATATATTCGGGTGTATGCATAAATGTGGCGTTATGATAAATTTAATATCAGATCGCAAAACCAAAAACAGTTATTTACTATGAGTTGGGGTGAGAGCTGATTTCACGATATTTGATGATGCGCATATATGTTGGTTGTTTTTTTGGCTTTTATGCCGGTTATGCCAGGCGTGTCACAGGATATAGCTCTTTAGCACACAGGATGTGGCGCATCAGCATAAAAGACTTTGGCATCACCACAGCCTGCTTCAAATGGTAATCTGCCACATCACTTTGCGCTGAATGCAAGATATCGATTTCTCAATGGTTTCTACATTAGATTGGGTCAGTGCCAATAACACTGACTACAGCCATAAATCCATCCAGTGTGCGTTAGTGCTGAACGACTATTGAGTTTACTAACAAGTTTACAAATATTAGAGTAACGTATAAAACGGATAAATCTCTCCTGTGGTAGAAGTGTTTATACCTTAATTAAGTTGAGCGGAATGAATATTCAATTAGTATATTCTTACTAATATAAATTCAAGCCTGCTGATGGTAATAATCATAAAAGCATTGGATAACATATTGATACATTAATTTTAATGCCAAGTTTGCTTTTATATTTTTGGTTGAGGAACAAACAGCTTGATTAGATTCTATTTATGTATATATGTCTAACAATGGAGAGAAAATCAACCTTATAGAGATAAAACTAAATATTCTTGCCACAAATAAAACTCATCAAATAATTTTTCCAATTGTATCCAGTACAATTTGTCGCGTTTATAACTTATCACAAATATTGTGAAATATCCCTGAAAGCAGACTTTTAAAATGTACAAAATGTTGAGTCAACGATGATTTGCAAATGTGTCCATTGTATATATGTAAATTGAAGCTGGCAAAGCAGTACAAAGCCATGCTAAACAATGGTATTTTTAGTCAGTTTGCATTGCTACGGGCTTCTCTGAGAGCCATGACATGGGGGCTTCTGGACTAAATCATGAAATAATTCAAGTGGCTTTCATACAGAATCATATAAATGTATTTATAAATACTTATTGCCTGTGCGCAATGTGCTACATACATATGTGCTATATTCAGTGATTTTGCCAGTATTTGTTGTATTTTGTGAGCTGGCGCAGCTGTTGCCATCTCTCAGTATCCCTGTGGCCTGTTGTTGCACAAATTTGTATAAATATGCTGAAGCTTGTGCGTTTATTTGCTGATTTGCCAGCCTTGAAGCGTGCCAAATGTTGTTTTACTGCCACCTACACTCACACTCGCACACACACACACACACACATACACACACACATACACTCACACAGGTTCATGTTTGCCGGCACTTCGTCGAAAATAATTTGTCTGAACAGCTCTCAATCCACATGTGTACCTACTACTACATATACATAGCTACATGCATACTATATACCATTGTATGTATGCTATATGTTGGCCCTGAGGCACCTCAGCTGGCACTCCAAAATGCTGTTTGTCTTCAACACTCAGCAGGCACAGAATTTTTATTTATTTTTTCACACTCTGTTCTTACACAGCAGCAGCAATAGCAACAGTGGCAATTCCAGAAGCGTCTTCCTTGTTCCTATTTCCATCTTGAAGTGGCAAAGTCGTTTATTATTTTCACGCACAGACAAACAAACGGAATGACAAACATATAGCACACTACACATATAGCGCACATAGAGCAGACTATATATCTCTGTATTCAGTTCCATTCTGTCTTGCTCTGCTCTGCTCTGCTCTGCTCTGCTGTGTTATGGAGGTAACGCATCACTAAACTTCAGCACAATTGCCCATACAATACATGTGCGTGGCACGCTGTTTTCTTGGCAGTTGTGTTTGTGTTTTGCCCTCTCATTGGGAACTCGCTGAACACGCATTGATGTCAGCTGCAAACAAAACCCGGGAATAGCAGCTCGAAGTAGCAGCCAGCAATTCTTCAAATCGTTTCATCTTATTAAGCAGCCAACGCTGTCTCTAATTTGTCCGTCATTTGCTTGGTTCTCCATTCGCTCTCAACTATTCTGAGGGATTTAATTTACAGCGAATGCTTTGCGTACTCCTATTTCAAGTGTCCCCCTCAAAAGGACAGCTAATACAGGTTGTAACTCTGTTACCTGCGACTTGATAACTTTGTCAACATCAACGCACCTTGCGTTAAAGACAAAATATTGCCGGTATGTCAAGACGGAAGCTGCAGCTGCCACTCACAGGGCTTGCATACTGTGTCTGAGTAAGTCAAAGTGAAAAAGAGAAAGGATTTATGTACACTCAGACAAAGATCGCCCAAGCCGAAGTCTTGTGACAATCGGTTTAGTTTATGGCATTGAGATATTTCGAACCGCTTCCAAGTGGATGCTTATTTCACTGTGCTGTTCTGTAACTATCCACCTCAATGCCTACTGCGACGTATCCACTTCAGTACCATTAGTAGATAACCACTTGTAATCTACTACTCAGTAGCTACTGCAAGGTCCTCATCACTTGTGGGTTTTCCACTGGTTGGTATTCGCTTAGTAACTTACTCCTTATGTATGTTCTGAGCTGTCCTCTGAGCTAGCCTTGTACATTTTTCAAATTTCTAGCTGAGTTTTTTTTCGGAGTGTACAAATATATATAAATACGAATGCAAGGCTAGTGATGAATTCTGTATATTAGCCAGGAGCACTGAACTGAACTGCGGCTTTGGCATGTCATAAAGTGAGAATTTCTGTTAGCTGATAGCCAACTGGCGAAGTGCTTTCACCTTTTACAGGCGGTCGTTGTATTGTGCAGTCTGTGAAGAAGAAATGCAAGTACTCGATGTGTTTTCCGACCACTCAGACTCGACAGCCTCAGGCTCTACAGTGCAGCTGACACTTTGAAAGGAATTGTATAAAGCCACACCAGATACCAGCTTTAAGCGCTGCCAGGCATATCAAGTGGGCTCACCGGAGCACACATCAACCAACTGGTTGCCCACTTGCTACATCCCAACCCACCCAACTGGTTCCATTAGCCGCAATGGGGCTTAGGTCTTTGCATGTTGTCGTGTCGTTTGTTTTGTGCGACAGCCTGCAGCATTTTACATAAATTTATGGCGCAACAATTTCAATTGCAAATTTCCATTACGCTGACAGCAAATGATAATCGTACTTACCGAGCAAATCGTTGACACCAGCGAATGTCATCACCAGAGAGGCCACAAAGAGATCCGCAATCGCTAATGAGGCCAAAAACAGATTGCCAATGCGGCGCAGACTTCGCTCCGTGTAGATGGCCAGGCAGACGAGAATATTGCCGGCAACCGAAAGGAATATCAGCACCGATAAAAAGATGCCTACGGCGTGTGGAGCACGATTGTGAACAGAGAGCACAAAATTAGACCGTGTGTGTGTAGTATATGGATGTATAAAATAATCGTGAACATTCATAAATATAGCATTCTTATGGAGGTCGAGCCATTGACAATAATGTGTGTGCGAGTGTGTGTGCGAGTGTGTGTGCGAGTGAGTCTGTGTATTTCAAGTAACATGCGCTTGTGCTTGGGTGCACTCATTGAACAGCGAATAGTGTTGTTGTGTACTTTGAAACAAGTGGACGAGTTGTGCTCTGGTGCTGTTGTTGGTGATGCTGCTGCTGGTGAGTGTTTTCAGCTAGTTGGACATTCAACGACATTTACTTTACCAACAACTACAATTGACACAAGTGAGAGCTGTTCCGGTTCCTCACCAACTATTGTATCCATTTCAGAGGCATTTGTCCAGCTCGTCTCATTGTAGTACGATGTCAGCTGCAATGAGTTAAGAAGTATTCAATTTTTAGTGACTTTAAGTGCAAGCAAACCAAAAAAAGTTAGCTAACCAAAACTCTCATTCTACGGGTATGCTAAACATCCCATGGCCATGCCAGCATTTTAGCCTTTGTCTAAATAAAAACGCTCCTAATTAGTTGGCATTTAAGTTTCCATGTGACAAACATAAGGCAAGGCGGTTTTTTTCCCCATTGCGAGTGAGCGAAGGATAACGACAAGTTTTAATTAACATCAAAGGCTTTGGCGTTGTCCTTGCGCTAAACTAATGAAATATATAAATTGTGTGCTTATGACATAAACTGCTGAAGAATGAAACATTTTACACTAATTAAACGGCAGGCATTAGTTTTCACATACGTCCAATGTTCAATTACATTGTGTCTACCTCAGCCAACCGCTTCTCTAACATTCCAGCGTACCATGTTGTCTGTGGTTCACATATCTGGCTGCGGTTGGCTGGGCTCACAGAGCAACTATTAATCATTTGATGTCTGTGGTTGCTTAGCAGCTAGGCACTTAGTCGAACGCCAAGCCACAAGGCCCAGCAAGCAAGCAAACATTATTCATAATTAAAATCGATAAAGTTGCGCCAATGTTCTATTGCGCTTAAAACAGTAAATTGCTAAGCCATAATATAATTAATTTGTAAAATTAAGCTGGGATCGTAACAGCATCATTCTCAGTCAAAGCTTCAGTTGTAATGTGCTGAGTTATGTGTCTGTCAGTACGCATTTGTCTTGTGGCTTTGCCAGTCAGCAAGTGTATGAGTGAGTGCGTATGTAATAGTGTATCTGTGTTTGTGTTGTGTATGTATTTCCATGCGAACATTTCATTGGTTGGCTCATCTTGCGTTCGGTTAACTGGATAACTGACCAAATGTACACATACATTTAATTCAATTGCAAACCAGAACACAGCGCTTCTCCCATATATACATAAATACGAATCGAGCTGTGCGAATGCATATATTAATTGGCAGTCCTCCTATGAAAGCACAGTCTGCATTGCCAGTCCAACAACAATGTGCGTACAAAAATAAAACTCAATTAAACGTTGAAAATATTTGAGGCCCTACCAGGATAACGAATGTGTAGGCAACCCAACATTGCTGCTTTGACCACTCGGCGTCATTAATATGCAAGCCAAACAACCCTCGTGAATAATGATTTTCGCTTTGTATGCGCCAGCTGAAGGTACAATAACTTTAATGAATCCTGCAACGTTTGTGTTCCGTCATCAGTTTTCACAACCTTTAGTACTAAAATGTAGCACTTTAATTGTGATTCCCAAAATGTATATCATTACATCCATATATAATAGAATAGTCAAATAACATAGATAGCCATCAGTTTAGACTGTTGCGCAATTCAAATAAGATTGATTTTCAAATGACATGAGCCGGATACTTCTTTCAGCTAGTCAAATTCCTTTTGGCCTCATAGCAATTTCCATATTATATATATGTAAAGTATTTAAATACTGTAATTCAACATGTTTTATATATGAATAATGTATACTTTTACTAAATGAGCCCCAAAAAGTATGCAATGAACATTTGCAGGGAATTCGGAACATCTTAGAGCAAGCTCTTCTCAACTCTCACTATCGGGCATAAGTGCTTGGAAACGATGTATTTGTAGGAGTGTTGCCAATTCCCTGTCAGTTCTTTTTATATGCAACTTTGTGCCACACACGCAAAACGTATGTGAAAAATGTATTCACCGCAAAGTTGTACATACATATATACGAAACATAAACAACAAGTATGCAAATGAAATGCTAAAAGGCATCCTCAAAACCGCTGACACATGCAATTAATTAATTTAAGCATAAAATTGCGGCTGCTGCAAGAATGTGTATTTCATTTGCTACACATTTTGCTTCTGCGGTGAGGAAGGAAGGGAACTGGGGGTCTGTCCACACCTACACATCGCTCATTTTATTCAATTAATTTCGCAGCCTGTCTTTCAGTGTTTGTGGATACATTTTTTAAGCGGCTTAAAAGTTGCTAATTGTCTGAAATGCGCCATTTTCAGTGCGTGAAAGCAGGGCTTATCCCTATATATATACTAAACCAATAGTTGCGAAGGGAGAAATGACAGACACATCAAATATCAAGTGACCAAAACATGGCATGGAAAGTGGCATTAAATCAAAAGCAGAGCAAATTGTAATTATTATCAATTAATAATTACATTTGAATTGAATTTCTGACCTGTTCTTTGTAATGCTTTGGCAATGAAATTCATTTGAATCCTTGGTGAGTTTAATTTCAATTCCAATATTAACTTAAGCTTCTTGAGTCAACATTTGCTAGCGTTCGCTTTCACAGTCTTCGAGGCCTTTGCATAATTTAATAACTACACTTAATTAAGTAATTGCCCAGCTCACAATGTAGCCCAAAAGGCATTTTGAACACTGAATTCGTGTTAAAGATTTGCATACTAACAACACAAATTATTCATTATGGCCAGCTTCATTGATTGCCAGGCAATAAACTCATTGGCCAACTAAGTCAGCACCTAACAACACCAAAATGTTTACGAGTAAATGACCAATGATAATGGACATTTAAGGACTACGCATAATTTGCCATGTATTTACAATACACAAAACTTAATTGGCGTACAGCGCTCCAGTTGTTCTGCACTTCCTTGATCCCTTGATTAACCCAGGTACTTCAGATTATAAAAAGAACATTAAAAGCTTTTGTGTGACACTGGGCTTCCAAACACATGTTCACTAAATGAACAGATTTAAAATGCCATCAAAGATTATGGCGTCATTATACCCTGTGACACGAAGATGCACAGAATCTGGTATATTGAAATTGGTCAGCTAAATCGCATAGGAAGCTATTTCTTCTCTCTGAATTTCTCTGCAAAGCCATCAATCGCTGCACGGATATCATTGCTCTATTTCACATTTTAATACATAATTATATACGATAAGTGACAGTTAGTTAGTTACTGCTACTACAGTAAATACACAGAGGAATCACATTATATGGGATTGCGTATATTCAAAATAATCCACATTATTAAATCCCAAATTGAAACTATTTAATTTCCACTCGGTTTCACAATTAAGATAACAAGCGGATACAGAGTTGAAACAAAATCTGTGAGTGATTTTGTAAAAGAATGTGTTATGCCATCAAAAAAATGTGATTCGACGTACGAGTAACTGTGATAGCAGCTGTTGCACTTAATTGGCAGTAAAAATGGTCAACAAATGTCAAATTAGAGCTACAGAGGGTGGCCCAATAAGTTAAAAAAAAAAATGAAAAGATTTGGATAAAATTGTTTGTGTACCTTATGGTTAGTAGAGAAGCTCTGATTGCTTTAGTAAGTTCCATTTTTAATTGTTTTTTGAATGGAGAACTTTATTTGTATTCCTTATATTTCGTTTTTGCAAATCCTCAAAATACTATTATATCTTAATTTAAAAATTCGGACTTCAATTTCGTCGCCTTGTGCATACTTTGCGATATTCCCACCCAGTAAGTAGTTAAAATTGCAATATCTATTAGTAACATAATGGAAAATAGAAAATTGTATAATAAAAGGAAGTCGGAATCAAGTAGAAAGCGTAAGAAAACTAACGCTTATCTTAAAGTGTGCTGCATTGCGTCAAATGAATTTTGTATCAGCCTCCATTTAGAAAAAGCTATACATTTTGACTGCAACGTAATTTTAGTTAGCCTACAGTGACCAATATGAATTGTCATACATTTTTAAAACGTTCTTTAAGTATTATTATGTACCCAGATTGTTATTAAACTGCTCCGGATAAGGCAGACAATAACACATATGAGCAAAACAGAGGGTCGCACAGAGACACACAGACAGTATCACAAAACAACAGGCCGCAGGATGCTCCCTTACGAAAGTGTGAGTGTGTGTGTGTGTGTGTATGTAGGCGTGTAGGCCCTCTTTGTAAAGTTAAGCGTTGATTAAACGTCAAAACACCCACACTTACACACAATCCCATACAGAACAAGGCGACATGGACTCTCACACGCACAAATTGCCAGCCGGCGGCGGCCAACTGAGCAGCGCAACAAAGTCGACTACAATAATATTGCGCAAAAAAGGAAAGTCGCAAAACCTGTTCCACAAACAACTACAATGATAACAACAACAACCAACAACAACAACAACAACAGCAGCAATTGCATAAAACTGTTGCCAACGGCAACACTCCTCCTTTGTTGTCAGCCTGTTGCCAATTGTGTGACTGTCTGTCTATCTGTCCGTTTGTGCGTTTAAGTGTAGGTGAGTGTATAAGTGTAAATATAAGCGCCTGCCGGAAGTAGTGTGATTTACAAGCAAAACAACAACAGAACATGCGCATAATAAGCAACATCAACACTAAAGGCAACAGGACTTTCATTATACGCCATCTTAATGGCTGGAAGGAGCCTGTTTACTTTACTCGTTTCACATTGTCAGTTGAACAGTTTTCCCCCATGACCTTTAATTATTTCTCCGGCAGCACAAAAAGCAATAGGAACAGGACACCAGTTGACTTAATAACAGAAATACTTAGAAATATTGAGAATTGCCTCAATCAAAAGTAATACCCATGCTGTATATATATATATATACAAATGATTCATATATTTTCCGGCGTTCATTGCACATTGTCCGCATTACGAGTATTTCGCACAGCAGCATGTGACTGAAATGTTATGAATTTGTTGCGGTTAAAAACCTGACACCATTGTTGCTCCCCTATAGCCAGTTGTGTGCCCGCACCGGAAATGACACGCCGCTTGCATTTGGCACTTCCACAAAAACAAATACACACACACAAACACATCCGAATATTTAGATATGCAAACAGGTTACTTTCTCTCCATTGAGAACATTTCAATTTTTCCAAATGTCAGTTGACTTTGAATTTTTCAATATTTCTGAAATTATGAATCCTAAGTAAATATTTTGTTATATGTTACATACACATAAACATTGATA